TAAGTATCTCATTTATCTGCTTGTACAAAGTCTTCTGACTACTTAATAAGTGTTGTAAAGCTATTAAATTTATACAGTAGCCTTAAAGTCCTCTTAAATGTGATGATAGTATGTATGAACCCAGGCAGTGTTTTGCCTAAAATCAAAAGACTAATAGCTCAATGATATGTTTTCAGTTGGTTTTCAAAACCTGTCACTCTAATAGGTCAAAGTTCATAAATATTAATAGGATAGAAAGCAGATGTGCACAAAAATATTAATAACATGGCTTCGATGCTTTAAACCTTTCTATATTTAATCTTTAAATCTTCTTTAGAGTTGAGTGATGTACAGTCACCAAGGAAGAAAATTACTTGGAGATCACAGAGACCATTTTCAGCCAGATAGTTTGAAAGAGCTGCAGGCATCCAGGGCAAGTGACTTCCCCCTGCTGTCCTACTAAGCCTTTTTATAGAGCAGCAGTGTCAGAAGCTGCAAAAAACTTAAAAAGGCTTTGGTCTCACAGGTCCTATTGCCCACATCCCTGGATTCGAGATGCACACAGTACCTGATTCTTCATCTACCATGAAACGGGAGAAGCAGATTTCTAGGTACATATATGTTCCATCTAAGCGTTATAGGCCTTTGAATTAGATGGGATTCTGATATTTGTAATTGTTTTGTTATACCTTTGAACATGAAAGTCCAAAATAAATAAAATGTATTATGTTACGAGGAATCAAACCCAAGTGCATGGTAGGCAAGCACTCCACCACTGAGCAAAACCCTCCAGCCTCAGTAAATGTATTTTTTATGCAAAAATGGGATATTTGCTATGTAAATATCTTTTTTTGTTGTTGAAAGTTTTACAGTTTATTAAATACTCTCATGAAAAAAGTTGCAGGGGCCGGGGAGATGGCTCAGTGGAATAAGCGCTTCCCTGGCAAGCGCAAGGGTCTGAGTTCAATCCCTGGTTCTGCAAAAAAAAAAAAAAGAAAGAAAAAAGAAAAAAATGTTGCAGTCACTGCAGACAGGCACTGCAGAATCTCTACTCCTTCGGCTTTTTACCAGCACCAACGTTAGCCTTTGTGGTGTCGCTGACTTTCTTCATTCTGTTCTTGCATTCCTTCCACTGCTTTCTTGAGGTCTTTTTCTTCTCATACAGGCCGTGTCTTGCAAGTCTGTGTTTGGGCTCATTTTTCTACACATAATCCAGGGAATCATAAATCATGCCAAAGCCAGTCGTCTTGCCACCACCAAAATGGGTTCTGAATCCAAACACAAAAATGACATCTGGTGTTTTTAAAACCTGTCACTCTAATAGGTCATTGTACATTTTGGCGAGTTTTTCCCGAATTGCTGGCTTAGGTACTGTTGCTTTCCCAGGGTGAAGGACATCAATGACCATTTGTTTCCTTTGAAAAAGCCAGTTGGTCATGAATTTCGGGGTTCGGATAGTTACTGTGTCATTCATGATGGCAGTGGAGCCTCAAACAGCCTGGGAGGAAAAGAGCTAAATATCTTTTCTACTTAAAGAACTTTAAACTTGATAGAACCCCATGTTCTTTTGTATTCTTAGCACCACTCACTGGTTATAGATGTTCACATGACCTCTAGCAGAATTTTGAATATCCTTGATTAATCCATGTCTGAGTTGCTGTTAAAGTGTGGTTTCCTTCCTCTGAGAGTGTATGGGGAAGAAGGACGAGGCTGAGACTGTTTTCATGTGATGGCTTCGATTTTCTCTAAGTTAGAACATGAAGTTATCTGTTAAAGAAGGTGGGAGTTACATGGGAGGTGAGAAAAGTTTTAAAATAGATCTGAAAATGGGAGATCTGAGCTGATCTATGCTGTCTATTTTATAGTCTCAGAAATGTGGGACATTAAGTCCATTTAAAGTGGAAACAAGGGCTGGCCAAATAGCCCAGTGGATTAAAACACCTGCAAGCAGGCTCAGGGCTTGGGGTTTCAATACCCCAGACATGCCGTGCCAGCCCTGCCTCCAGGGTACACTGAGATGGCAACTGAGACTGGGATCATGGGACTTGCCTATAATCCCAGCTCTTGGGAAGCTGAACACAGGTGGATCACTATGAGTCTGATCTAGTAGTAGGACCCTGAACACCCTGTAGACCCTTCCCTAAAATACAAAAAAATAAAATAAAATAAAGTGGAAACAATATTCATGCTGACATATATTTATAATATACATTTAATATTTGTATGTTTTGTACCCAATGTATTCATTTAGTCCTTTAAGTATCTGTCATTGACAACAAATATTCTTTGCAGCTGAGTGAGTCTGAGCTTAGTGTCAAAGAATCTCACTAATAGAGCAATTGAAGGATCATTTATTATGCAGCAAAAAGTTCTAGATTCATTTAACATTTATTTCCATTTGCTAGTCAATTACCAGCTGTCAGAGCTTATTAAGTATTGTTAATTTGAGTTAGAAGCTGTCACTCCTAAGTGTATTAACTCTGCCTAATCATAGATAGCAATTTGTCCTATGATAGAACGATATTAATCATCGACTTCCATCTGTCTTCGTCATGGTATAAAATTGCCACTGGGTCGCATTGCTGAAGAGACGTAAATTATGGTGGACACCAAAATGAAAGCTGACAGTCATGAGTCATGAGTGTCTTGATTCATGTTAACAAAGCATCTCATTGTTTCCAGGTCCAGGGGGAAAAGTGACAGCTTTCAAAACTTTTTGCTTCTTACTCTTAAAAACATAGTTTCTTCTTATTCCTAGTAATATTCATGGAGTAGTTATGGCATGCTGGTCATCGTGCTCACAACTTTGTATGAATTACTTATCAAATTTTCCCAATACCTGTGAATTTGTTAGCTGTTGTTGCTCTTGCACTACCATAGACTGTATTTTGCAATGAAGGATTAAGAGAACTTGAGTAATATATTACCCAAAATGACTCAAATCCAGATAATTAAAAGCCATAGTCCTTTCTCTTCACCACTGGTCTTTGCTGATAGATGGTGCCTGTTTTCACTAGGTTAATCACTTAGGAATGCATTTGGGTGCAAGTAACTAAAATACCACATATGGTGGTCTGCAGAATAGTAGTTTGGTTTTTTTCTCACTTAATAGGATGGATATATAAATAGCCACTCACTTTGTTTCAGTACTGTAGTAGTGCCAGGACCAGCAACTTTAGTTCCTTGTACTTTCCCTAATGACAGCAAAAACAGCTGTTTCAATCCCAAGCATCATACCTGAGCTCAGGGCAAGAGGGTAGGAGGACAATTACATGGCACTAGCCATGACAGCATAATTTATCATGAAAGCAAAAACTTTCCCATTTGTATTTGTGGGTACAAAATTTTTTTGTTTGTTTGTTTTTTGTTTTTTGGGGAAGGGTCTACAGGGTGTGTAGGGTCTCACTATTGATTGGATTCATACTGATCCACCTGTTTACAGCCTCCCAAGAGCTGGGATTACAGGTGTGCGCCACTAAGCCCAGTTTCAATTGCCATCTCAGTGAGCCCCGGGAGCGGGGCTGGCACAGCAGGCCCTGGGGATCAAATGCCTGCCCCTGCTACTGCTTGCGGGTGCTTTAATCCACTGAGCTATTTGGCCAGCCCTACAAAATTGTTTTACATGGCCACCCTTACCTACAGGGATGGAAGACAGAAGCAGAGGGGAGTTGAGGATGGTTGATGGACCAGCCTTGGGCCAGCTTGGAGAATTCCCAAGCTGTGTAGGAATTTTTCACATCTGTTTTAATGCTTTGTTTTGCTTTTAGTAGAAGGTTGTGGTTATCTGTGCCGTTAACCCCTGAGGTATTTATTCTTGTCCCATTTTCTATAATATGTTCCCAGATAATAAGAGAAGGCTGTGATTCCATTAGTGGAATCAGGAATCACACTGGTTGCAAGTAACAGCAGCTAATGGATGCTGAGAAAATAGGTGGACTTCAGTCACTTGCCCAACAAATATTTATTAAGTACTTACATTCTGGATACTTCTAGGCTCTGGGCATATGTCAGTGGACAGTACTTTTGTTTTGGTTTTGGTTTTGTTTCTATGATTTGAGAAAGGGTCTCACTGAATACTTCAGGCTGGTCTTGAACTCCCTGTGTAGCCCAGGCTGGCCTACATCCTGGTGGGTGTAGATGGAAGATGGTGGAACTCACTATCTTCCTGCCTCAGCCTCCTGAGACCTTGAATTACCCACGTATGCCACCACGCACAGTGGTGTTCAAAACTTTTTAAAATGTAAGGAAAAATAAGAGGGAATCTCATAGAACCCAATGGTAGGAGTGCAGCAGGGCCTCAGGAGGGATACAAACCGAGGGCAGAAAAGCTCACTGAAACCCAAACAGCCCCTCTGCACACATCCCACTCGCTCTGCTTTCTCCCTGGGCACTGTGCAAGGGTGGGCCAGCCCACAGAGCCTGACTTGTCCAATTGCTTTCTATCAAGCAGCATGTAGACAAGAGAATTTTAATCCACTAAAGCCAGGGACAGTCTACTCTTTGTGTGAGGGGTGGAGTTACAGGGTGGCCCCAGTGGAGCAGACGCCTGGCATAGGAAGGTGGCCACCTCACAGAGCTCTCTGTCCCTGCCTCCTGCTGTGCGGCTGTGGGGGCCTCTGTAGCTGTTCAGCCCACCACCCCAGAAGGGTGCAGGTTACCTCCACCTTGAGGAGCACATTTGCTCAGCTCTGTAAGAATTGCCGGTGTCAGGGTTGTCTTGAACCTTTCCAAGTCATAGGTCTTTTCCCCTCATACCTCTTCCTGCCAGATAACAGAAGTGTCACTCCCTTCTCATTATAAACTGAGCCCGGAGGAGCTAGCAGCTCCATTAATCAGTTGGGTTCCAAAGTACACACTGTAACCCGGGTCAAGATATTCTTTCCTAACCCACTTAAACTGTAAGACAGTGAGTTATAGCTGTTGCTGATTACGTTTCCTAAACCTTCTCTTTGTTTGGGGCCAGTGAATGCTCGCCACTGAGGGATAAACTGAATTGCTGACCAGCTGCTGTTTCTCCGCAGGCTGTGGATTCCCCTCCGCGGGGAGGAGGATGGGCCGGCTGGGGCTCCTGGGGCAAATCTCTGCTGTCATCTGCATCTGCCACTGTGGGTAAGCATGAGCTGTTGGGATGGAACGAAGTCCAGAGGCCTGACAGGATGCAGCGGTTTGCCTGTGCCCTAGAGTGGTGGAGTTCAACATCAGCCCATCCTCAAGCCCTCTTTAATGTTTACTCTTCTCAGTGCTAAATTCAAGAGTGTCTAGATTGAGATTAATAATAACAGAATAATTGTTAATATACTGTGAATCATGATCTCATGAGAGTGGCTCAGAGGTTACTCAGAGTACTGGTCATTAAAAAAAATGATTCTCTCTTATAAAAAAAGAAACAAGATAAAGAACAAAACTTTCTTTTCAATGAATGAAAGAATTCAAAACATCAGACCTCCCAAAATGAAAGACTCGGGCAACTGAAATGAATAGACACGTCTCAGAAAAAAAGTGGAAATGGCCAATAAACATATGAAAAAATGTTCAACATTGCTGGCCACTAGAGAAATGCAAATTAAAACTACATTGAGGCCAGAGAGATAGCTGGGTGGTCTAAGTACCTCCTGGCAAGCACAAGGACCTGGGTACAATCCCTGGTACTGCATGCCATGCCAGCTGGGCACCAAGCCAGCCACTGAAACCGGGTACGGTGGGACATGCCTGTAATCCCAGTGCTGGGGAGGCTGAGACAGGAGGAGTCTGAGGTGCATAACAAGACTGTGCCAAATTAATTGATTAATTAATTAATTAATTTAAAAACCTACATTGAGATTTCATCTTAGCCCAGGAAGAATGGCCATCATCAAAAACCTCAAATAATAACAAATGCTGGCAAGAAAGTGGGCAAAGGAGCTCTTCTGCATTGTTGGTGAGAATATGAACTAGTACAGTGACTTTGGACCCCTGTGTTTTATTGTCCTTTAACATGGAAGAGCTGAGATTTATAATATATCTCCACAGTTTTGGAATTATCATCCCAGTTAAGTACTTTTAAATGTAAAACTTAATTACTTCTTAAACAACTTTGAGTTATCCTGATAAAAGTCATTTCATTAGCCATAGAGTAAAATGCACATAGAACAAAATAGGCAGGTAGAACAAATATATATTATACATTATCCCAAAGCCAATGGAGTCATGGTAGTTGAGCCCTGACCTGAACTCTGAGCTTCCTGGCTGCCAGTACATTATTTATTTATCATTGAGTGATAAAACTTAGTTTATCTAAACAAATCTATTTTCTGGTCTTAAATTTTTAAAGAAAATTCCTGTATTCTTTTTTTTTTTTTTTTT